TTTTTCGAAATAGCCATTTTGGCTGCAAAGCGATTTAAGGAAGCGAAAAATATTTAATTAAAAGGTTAAAAGCAAAACGGGCAAAGCAGCAAGGTTAAAAAAAAAGGTTTACAAATTTAAATTCACTGGATTGCTGCCACGGCTTACACCTTATTGTTATAAAAAAGGCTTTGTTGTTGCACGAAAAGGAAATTATTTGGGCAAAGCGTCCTTAGCGTTTTATCGCGGTTTTGTAAGCGTAACGTTGGCGCGCTAAAAGTGCGGCCTTAAATTTTTCCCCAAATGCCCCAACGCGTACCGTAACAATACCTTATTACAAAATTGCAATTGTTCCAATTGCGCTAACGTAATGCTTTGCGCTAATATAGCGTTGCATGCATAGCTTCGTTTGCTTGGGGCGCTTTTTTGTTTTTTTTGCGCACGGGTTTGCAATGTTTTGCTTACCGCTTTTTTAAAGCAAAATTTCCGCGTTGCGTTAACGTTTTTTTGCCGTTTTTTTAATTTTTTTCCCGTTTTGCGTTACGTTTGCTTAACTTTTTTTTAATTACTATTATTATTTTTACCATTACGATTTTTTAATTCGTTAATTTAACGTTATCGTTATTTTGTATTTTTATCGTTATTTCGTTTTTTTTTGTTTTTTTCCGTTATATTAATTAATAATATAAACGTTTGCAAAATCCGCGCCGGCACGATAGCGCGCTATCCGCTTTGCGCCGTTATTTATTTTTTAACGCTTTGCACGTTAATTAATTAACACAAAAATAACATTCCGAATTTAATACATTTTATTTAAAAATTTTATTGCGTAAGCCCGGATTTAAAATTTTAGCGCAACGGTAACGGGTTGCAACTTTATCCAAACGTTTAATGCTATTAATGTTAAAATTAAAAGGATAATTGTAACAAAATACGTTTTATTAATTAAAATTTGCCAGCGCATTGCTAACGTTCCAATTTGTAATTGCTTTTTTACATAAAAAAAAAACCTTTGTAATTTTAAACGCTTGGCCGTTGCTTACAAAAGCTTTTTCGTATCGATAACGAAATGCTGGTTTTTTTGGATTTTGCCGGCGTTGCTAAAAGCGTATATATTTTATCGGCAAATATTTGCGCGCGTATTGCGCGCATATGCACCCATTTTATACGTAATTTCGAAATCGTTAACGCTATTAAATAACGCTTTTATTGCATAAATAACCCCCAAAACCGGCGTTAAATAAACGTTTTGCTAGCGTTTTTGCGTTCCGCTTTTATTTTTTTTTTATAAAATTTTAACATTAATTTTAGCCCGCCCTTTTTGTTATTTTAACGCATTAACGGCGCGTTATTGCCATTTTGTTAGTTAGTATTTAGCTTTATTACCATTTCTTTCGTTTTTCGGCTTAAAAGGACCGGGCAAAAATGCGGTTTTTTTTTGGCCACCCGGAATATATAATTTAGCATACCGCTAAAAAAGCTTATATTTAAAAATATTACAAAATTGTATGTATTATATAATTTGCGGTTATTGCCAAAAACGGAAACAATTGGAATAATACCGTATATTTAGCAACGCGCCGAAATTTTTTATTTATAATAAAAAATTGCTTTAACTAATTTTTTAAAATAATATTTTTTGTTTAGCATAAATTTCCGGTTATTTTTTTTTCCGAAAAAAATCGGTAAATATACCGGAAAAAAGGTAATTTTTCTTTTTCGCTATTATTTTTAAAAACGGGTAACGGCGGGCAAACCGTTAGCAATTCGTTATTGTTATTATTTTTAAAAAGCGAAATGGAAAAGGTTATTGTAATAAAAGCGGGTAGCGGTAAATAAACCGCTAACGATTCGTTATTATTTTTAAAGGATAAATTTTCGAAATTTAAAGGTAATAATGCTTAAGCGCGGCGTTTAATCGTTTTTTTTTTGGTTTGGTTTTAAAATTTAGCTAGCGCGGCGTTCGGGTATTTCCGGGCGCATATTTATTTTTTGCGCGTTTTAGCGCGCTTTAACGCGCGGCAATAATTTAACGTTATAACGCCGTTTTTCCGCATTAATTTTGGCTTACCGCTTGCGTATTGCCGGCGTGCGGTACGTTATTTTTAAACCAAAATTCCAATAAAAAATTGTGCTGGTAATAATTAAGCTTTTTTCGGGCGGCCTTTGCGTTTTGGTATTTATTGCTTTTAATACTAATGTTACAAAGTAAACAGTATATACTGTCATGAGGAAGCCTTAGGCATAAATATTAAATGCTTAAGGCATTGGAAGAGCGGTCCCCCTGCCTGGAAGCGTATGACGCTTCCAGGCGTTAGGAGGGAAGCTTAGTAAGCAAGGAGGACAGGGAGTCACGTGTATATAAAGGGCAGAGGCCCTTACGGGACCCTGCACTTTAGATCCTTTCCTCCTGAGAGCATATCAACCGGAGTAGCCTTACACCGTGCTTATCCCTTTTGCTTGCAACAACTAATAAAACGCCGGGCCCGTTATTTTTTGTATAAATTATGCCGCTTTTAGTTCGTACTATTAATTTAATGGTTTGGGTTTGTTTGGGTGCAAACGGTAAAAATCCCGAATGCAATCGTTTGCTTTTTTAAAGTTGCAGCAAAGTTTTTAAATTAGGGCGTAAAATGCGGGCCATTTAATTTTATATTAAAAGCTTTCCCGCGTTTTTTTAAAATCGAAAATTTTATCGAAAACCCATTTTTTGTTGTTATCGTTAATATTTTCTTTTTTTGTTAAAAAAATGCTAGTAATTCGTTGGTTATATCTTTTATTAATAGCGTTTTATTCCGGCAATTCCAAATAATTCCGTTAAATTAACGAAATGTGGAAAACGGGAAACAAACGGTATTGGGGCGGAAGTTTAACGGTTAAAGCTTGTTTGTAAACTTTAGTAACAAAAAACGGGCCAATTTATTTATCGTTTAATTTAAAAGTTAATTTCAAAAATGTTATATTTTTTATATTTACCCAAATTTAATCCTTTGTAACGAACGTGCTTGGGTTGGTTTGGTAACGATTAACCGCTTTTTCGTACCGTTTTTAAGCTACGGCTATTATTGCTTTAACATAATTAAAAATTGTTTGGATTTTATTGGTTATTATAAACGCATTGTACATTTTCCGTTACTTTGCCGGTATATCGTTAGTATTTGGAAAAAAAATTGGTTCGAATCCCATAAAAAAGTTTTACCCGTAATTAGCAAAAAACGGTAAAATTTCCGTTATTTCCAATATTTAATTGTTACTAGCAAATTTTCCCAATAAAAACTAATTAACCCAATTGTTTTAATAATAAAAGCAAAAGCTACGAAAGTATTGCTTTATATACGCGTTTAAAACTTCCGTTTGCCCGTTAAATTTTGGGTAAAACGCTAACGATTTTTTTAAAATAACGTTTAAACGTTGCTGCAATTTCCGCCAAAAGTTAAATACAAATTGGAGCTTTTTATCGAATACGATAATTTCGGGGGTGCCGTATTAACGGTATATTATTAATAAATAAGCGTTTGCTAAGCTGCCCGTATCGATAGTATTTATTAAAATGTAATGCTTTATTTTTGTTAATTTATCCATTATTATTAAAATATTGGTGTAAATAATACCCCGGCGTTTATACGGCGGCAACGGGCCAATAAAATCCATTAACAAATTTGCTTATGGTTTAAACGGGATTGGCAGCGGTTAAAATAACCCGTTGGGAAAATATTTTTTTTTTTAACCATTTTGCAAAAATAGCAGCCCCAAACAAAAACGCTAACGTTCCGGAAAAGTTTTGGCCAAAAATATAATTTTTGCAACAAATTGTATGTTTTGCTTTTTTTTGCGTAATTGCTAAGTAGTAAATTATGCATTTTATGCAATATTTGCAATCGAAAAGTATCGTTTAAAGGGATAAATAGCTTTTTTTCGATATAAATGCGCCCCCGAATCGCTTAGCAATTGGTTTTAACAATTTTAAACGTTTTGCGCAAAAACGCTAAAAAATGGCGAATGTTCGGATCGGCAAAGCATTGTAACAAATTTTAACAAAATTTAAACGCGGAATAATTTTTATTAATAAGCGCGTTAATAAATTCGAAAATATCCAATTAATATAAAAAAAAACATTAAAATTGCGCCGGCGTTTTGCTTGCCCACCGTTTTAAAAGGAAAAAAATTTTATGCTTATTAATAACGCGCTCGTTTGCAACAATGTCGTAAAGCGTTAATTTAACGCCGGGGGGTTAAAAAAAGCGTTTAGCACAATGGTTATTTTTTTTAGCTTATATACAATTTGGAATTTAAAATTGCTAAAGAATTCGGACCAACGTATTTGCCGCTAATTAAGCAATTTAATAATAACGAAAAATTATAAATTTTTGTAATTTATTTAAACTTTTATTAGCGTTTCGGTTTTTTAAAGCTTTGGTTTCCATTTTTTTAAAAGCGCGCATAATTGCAAGCAATTTTTTATCGTAAATTTCGTAATTGCATTTAATTAGTAAGTGTTTGGTTAAAAAAAAGCAACGGGCCGGCGTATTTTAAATGCATTTATTTAAAATAGCACCCCGTTCGTAGCCCAATTAAAAGCGTTCGTTTTTATAATTGTTTTAAAGGCTAGGTTGTAATGTGCAAGCACGATGTTCGAAAAAAAAACGGTTTTAAATTGGTAAAAAGCTACCGTTGCTTTAGCGGGCTATTAACGCATTTATAATTGTTCGTTTATTAATAAGTAAAAAGGTTTGGCGATAGCGGAAAAACCTTTAATAAACCGGCGATAAAAGTTAGCAAAACTTATAAAACGGCGAAATTTTTTTAAAATTATAAACTATTTTTATTAGCAAATTATTTTAACCTTTTTTTCGTTTATGCAAATTCCTGTAATTAAAATAATTAAACCGAAATATTTCGTTTTTTGTACTAAAAATTTGCATTTCCAAATGTCGATAGTAAAGCCCGTATCGGCAAATTTTTAAACCATTACGCAAACGTAACGCCGGTATTTCGCTTGCGTTTTGCTATAAATAAAAACGGTTCTTGTAGCGCAGTGGTTTAACGCCAAGAAGTCCTTTTTGGAGGATGCAGGTTCGAATCCTGCCGGGGATACGGGGTTTTTTGTTTCGCACGTGCAAAAGCGATTTAATTGCCCCGAACCGTTCCAACGTTTTTCCGAATAATTAATTCCCATAACGAAGCGACTTACAGCAACAAAAGATTTTACTTTTATCGACGAGCTTTATGGTACCCACGTGCGACTTTTTACGACTTTAGCAAAGCCATTTGCAACCCGTTAACGGGGTTTTTTACTTCCAAACCTTATAACGTACGTGCCGAAAGCACGAGCAAAAGGCCTTTTAAAGCACGTGCAATTTGTAAACGCACAAGTTATAAAGCAAGCGAAAAAATAAGGATTTTGGGCTAAAATAAATCCGATAAATTATCGAAATAGTAGCGCCGGGGTTGCGGCAAAGGATAAAGGTACCGATAGCGACGAAAGCAATTTTAATAACAAAATCGGCCGATAAAATAATGGTACCAATTAAAAAAAAAGGAAAAAACCGCTTTCGAAAGGGCGCGTTTAGCTTAAAAAATAAAAGGAATACGCTTTAGTTGGAAAAGGTAAAATTTAATAATTAACGAATAAGCTTTATAATAAAATAAAATATTGTTAATTTGGTTGTTTGGACTTTGCAAATAAGCCCGATTTAATTTGTAATGTATTACTTGAAATCGTAGCGCGTAAGTTATAGCGCGCTTTTTGTATGCACGCTTGTATTCGTGCTTTTTTAATTACTAATGTAATTTTTATGTGCAGGAATTTACTTACGAAAACGACGCGGAAATGCAAAAACTTCGAAAGGAAAGGGTTTTTATCCAGCTTTATACCAAATAGCTATCGGTTAAAGGCACGGTTTTTTCCTTTATGTATGTAGCCCGATCCGAAAAGCTTCCTATGGGCTATACAGCTCGAAAAGGGTAAATAAATTTATATATATAAATAAAAACGTTGTTAAAATATGCTATAGCGTAACGATTTAATGCATTTAACAAAATGCGGTTAATATAATATTAAAAAAAGCTAAAAGCGCTTATTATGCCGAAATTTGCTACTAAGCATTCGAAAAGGCCGAATTTGGTAATAAACGTTATTTTCCATTCGTTTTTTAAAGCAATTTGTAAGCGGTTAAACGCCGCAATAATATCCAATTTGGTAAAGTACTTGGCTTTCGAAAGGGCGTTTAGTGTTTTTTTAATTAAAGGAATAAAATATTTATTTTTTACGGTAACGTTATTTAAACCCCGGTAATTAATACAAACGCGAACTCCCCCCCCCCCGGGCTTTTTTGCTAAAAAAAACCGGGGCAACCGCTAGCGATATATTATTGCGTATAAAGCCTTTTGCTAAATATTCGTTTAAATATTTCCTAACAATTTGGAATTCCTTTTGGAACATAAGTTTGTTGTAATGGTAAAAAAGCGTTTTGCTTAAAAACAATTCGATTTTGTGGTTGGAAAAGCGGTACGGTAATAACTTATCGGCATTTTAAAAAAAAAAAGCATAACGTTAAATTGCAAAATTCGTAAAAAAAGCGCTATAAAATTTCCTTTATTGTAACGAAAGGTTTGCTATCCAAATATTTTTGGATATTATCGTTAAAAATGCGCCAAAAATGTAATGCCTTTTTAACCCAATCCCGGAATGCGGTTAAACGTAATTTTAGCATATTCCAAAGGATTTTATCGAATAAAGTTAAAATAAAGCGGAAAATTTTTACTAGCGTATTGTTAGCGAATTAATTAACGCTTACTAAGGGTATTAAAAGCTTGGGGCAAATTTTAGCGTAAAGTTTCGCTATAATTGTTCGTTTAAATTGTACGCTTTTTTATTTGCAAAATAATATAAAATTGGAAGCGCTAAGCATGCGTATATTTGCGGGGTTAAATTTGTTATCGTTATTTTTTAAACGGTTGCGTAATGGATTGTTAGCGTTCGGGTTTAATTTTAATAGCGTAATGCCGTGCATAATTATTAAGCCCGTTATTTAATTAATGTAAAGGTTGTAATGGCGTAGCTAAAAAAGCCTTAATATAATGTTAAGGCTTTCCGTTTTTAATGGCTAAATATATATAATAAGCGTTTTTATTTGGCAAATAATGCGGTAACGCATTTTAACGCATTTGCAAAAATAGCCCGTAACTTTGCTATTAACTAATTTTAAAAAAATGGGCTTAAGTAAAGCAAAGCGTAGCAAGTTATGGTTATGCGCAAAAGTATCGTCGACAAATGTTTATAAAAAACATCCGGTATTTAAAAAAGTGCGGCACTGGGTTAATAACGTTCCTTTAGCAAAAAGCTCGTTATAAAATAAAAAAGTAAAATTAGGTTTTATTAAATGTAAATATACTTTTATTTTTTTTGGAAAGTTATTAACGAAACGCCAATAGCTTTAAAAGCAATTGTGCCCAAAGCTTATTTTTTTGGCTTCCTTTTTTTTATATAAGCGGTTATTTAATGCCCCGCCCCGCTGCAATAAAAGCATAGGTTGTTAGTGCGCTTATACTTTTTTCAGGCGTTAATAAAAGGGGGTTGGGGCTTTATCGTAATTTTATTAAAATTTATAGCGTTTAAATGCTAAACCGGTTCCGGCGCATCGTTAGCATTAAAATAGCGTGTTAAAGGATGGGCGTTAGCGTTTTGCTTGCCCCGGAAAATGTTGTTGGCAATGTTATTAGTTAGGTTCCGGAACAAGCTTATTTACTTTTTAAAATTGTCGGGTTTTGGGCGTTTTACAATTAACGTAATGGCTTTATATAATAAGCGGTTTACTTTTTGCTTAAAAGCCAATACTTGTAAATTATTAAGCAAATTGTACATATTGCTAAATTTAATAAAATTGCCGATAAAATTGCTAAAAAAAAATTGCTTTAAACGAATAATTTAAAATTCCAATTAGCTTTTGCTAATATATTAATGGTAATGTAAATTTAATTTAGCATTTTAATAACGTTTGGGTAATTACGCTAACCAGCGGGCTATTGGAAAACGTTGTTGCCGGCCGTAACAATTTAATCGATTTTCGTTTTTATAAAAGCAAAAGCGTTATTGCTTAAATGCTAAAATAAAAAAAGAACGCGTAAAAACCGCTTTTGCTTCCCCAACTTCGCAACGGGAAAACGCCATTAAATACAGCAAATTTAACATTAAATTTAAATTTTTCGCTTCCGGCTTGCCACCGGACGTATGTCCGCGCGCGAACGCGCTTACAGCGCGGTTGCTAGCAGCGCTAGCAGCCCCGAAAGCGGCGGAACGGTTACCAACCGCCCCAAAGCCAACAATAATATTATTATAACCAACGCCCCCAACCCTTTTCCAACGCGCATCCGCATCGCAAATTTAAAAAATTAATTAATTAAAACATTAAAGCTTTTTGTGCCTTTTAGCAATACCGAATTAATGCTTAAAATTGTAAAAAAATGGATTAAAACCGTAATAAATGCGTTCGAAACGCGGTTTTGCAACCATTGCAATTATATATTTAACCATTTTTGTACTATAAAAAACGAAATTATCGTTAAAATACGCAATGCCCGCAAGCAAACCACCAATTACGCTTTGGTTTTAGCAACCGGTTTGCCGCAAAGCGGTTAAGCCGGTAATTACCCGCTTACGATTCGCCCCTACGCATTTTTTAATACCGGCCCCTTTTTCCAAAATATATTTCCGCGCGCACCAAA